TTATGCATAACAAACTTCTGAAGCAGACGACTTAATGTATGTATGAATGCCCACCATCCTCATTCTTCCATGTAGCTCAGACTACTTCACCTTTCTTGTTTAAGAGCAGGAAGTACCCTTACCATGTGAGTTACTTTGTAGTGACTTAAGCATTCATACCTTACTCCAGGGCTTGAGGTGGAGGTCACTTTTGTAGAGATGGAGCTGTTCCTGTTGGCATTCTGGAGAATATTATTAATTATGGGGCATTATCTCCATCCACCTCATTCCCCCAAATCTTAAGCTGGAAGTTATTCCCAATGATCTAGCATTCAGGGAAATTCACTTGATCTGTTGGGCAGAGACAGTTCTTGTGTTGGGAACACATGATGGCAACTGAGTTTTACATGTCCCAAAGACATATAATAAAAATCTTTTTGGAGGTTTTCCTTGATAATAGCTATGCCCCAGAAAACCATCTTGTTTAACCAGTGTGATAAGTTGACAATGTAGTTTTCCTCTCTGATTATAATGTGCTCTGTGTAGTCAATACACTGGTACCATGTGAGTGTAATTTCCTCTTTTATTTGATCTCCAATGCACTGTATTATAAATAAACAGTTAAAAAAAAACACCAAACAAATCTGTTGCATTTCCTTTTAAGATTGTACCACTGTAGACACTTGTTCTAGTAAAGTAGAATTGGGCACATTTGATTGCATTTAAATTTTTCATGCTTCAGCAGTTTGGCTGGGAGCACAGCAAAGAAAAATCCCATGAGCGAGGAGAGTTGAGAATAATAGAACTTGATTTTGTGTATTATAGCGGCAACATTTGCGCTGCTTTAGTAGGGTTGTGTCAGCACTTCCATTATAAACCCCTGTTTTCAGGGGCTCTAACTAGGAAGATATTTTTTTTAATACAAATTAAAAAAACAATTCATTTGAATGATTTTAAGTTATAATAGAGCAAAAATAAAACAAAGTAAAGTCACATAGAAATTGACCATTTTCACAAGGATTTTAATTTTTCTTTGCTCATTAGTTGTGTGGGGCATAGCTAGGTAAGGTACTACTAGCCAATATACGGAGGGGGTGGTGGGACTATTTTTGTGATGGATAGTATCAACCATGAGTGCATTCAAAATAAGTATAAGAATTCCACACAAAGCTGAAGAATCTTAATTAACTAGGTGCATTGATTCATGGATTCATAAAGCAGTTGACTGGGTATAGTGGTGGGAGTAAGGGTATCACCACAGTCTAGTGTCTGTGCTTTCTGGAGTATAATTCAGTTGCTCGAGGAAAATGTGTGAAAGGGGAAATTCTAGAGTGCCAAGGTGAGGTTACTTACGAGTGCTTGAGGTGCACGGCTGGTGTGAGTCTAATTCCCAGAACCCGCTCCTGAAAGTTGTCCACTGAGCCCCACGTGCACTACTTGGCAAGTGCATGCTTACACCTCCTCCTTTATCCTCCACACCCAAATATTAAAAACAACAGAAAAGGGGTAATACTAAAGAGAGGAAATGAATGAGGATGTAATGAGTTAAATTGAAAGATTGTATAACAATTTACATGTAAAAATTAGGGAACCAGATCCAGTAGCAGTAAATCTATGATTTATTTTCTAAACTATATGATAGCAAGATGGCTCAGCAGATAAAGGTGCTTGCAGCTAAAGGCAGTGACAAACTGAGTTCAATCCCTAGGACCTATATAGTGGAAGGAGAGAACCCATTCTTGCAAGTTGCTGTCTGGCCTCCACACGTGTACATGCACACAATGAATATAATATTAAAAAATACGTATTAAAATATGTATTAAAAATAAGTTGTGTGCGTTTTCCTATAAAACAAACAAAACCACCACTTAGAACAGTGGTTCTCAGCCTGTGGGTTGTAACACCTATGAGGCTCACATATCAATCAGATATTCTGCATATTAGATATTTACATTATGATTCATAACAGTAACAGAATTACAGTTATGAAATAGATACAAAATAATTTTATGGTTGGGGGTTACCAACATGAGGAACTGTGTTAAAGGGTTGCAGCATTAGGAAGGCTGAGAACCACTGGCCTAGAATAATACAATACAGTATCAAAGCTACTGCTGAGAACAAACTGAAACAGCCCAACATTTTTATCAAAAGGAAATACCTTGGTGAGAGAACAAGAGTCTTCTTTTCCTCTGTGGACAGCATAGTTAAGAATGCTAATACAATAAGCATAGAGGAGAAAGTAAAATATGACCTGAAAAGTGCTCTTGGGACATGACCTCTTTATGAAGGGATGGACTGGGGAGCCAGGCATGCCTTCTTCCCTGGTTCTCCCACCTCACCTACTTCTCTGTCTCAGTTGTGGTGTGAGCTGAAGATGAACAGTCGGCTTTAATATATTGCAGCCTATCTGGTATTTGCAACCTTGATACACATTTGTGTTTGTGGGTGTAAAATAAAAGACAGCTTGTATGCCACTGTCAATAGGCTCTGATGGGTCACTGGAGGGCTCACCAGAAGACTGCCGATGAAGGAGAGGTGAAGCCTTCCCCACTAATTGTATTCAGCGTGTAATTTCTAAACTTCCCTCTGAATTTTGATTTTCAATTAACACTCCCCATTTGAAGATAATTTTCTATTTAATGTAATTGCAGGAAATAATTTATTGGCTGATTAAGACTGAGGACCCAGCCTTCCTTAAGAAAAACACTCTCACCAGCCAGCCTTTAAACTCAACGCATAGCTTTGGACAGATTGAGTCTATTTTTACAGCTGCAGGGTTGTTTAATGAGGATCATACACTATTGTTAACCAGTATAGTCTGGCGTCAAAATGATTCTTTAAGAGATGGTTTGCATTTTTGGGTTTTGTATCATGATTAATTTTTACTAAAGCAATAATCACAGATACTGCTGTTGGGAGGCACCAGACAACTTTGTAATAAGAGGCTGTTTGTTGGGAGAACCAAAGTCACTTTGAGTTTTGGATTATGACTTTCACTTGTATTTAACTGTTTCCAAAAGGTGACAGTCTACTCATTCATTCATTTCTAATGTGTGTGATTACATTAGAGCTAACTGCCCATTATCTGAACAATGCAAACACTCTTGCTGTCTGTTACCACCCCTTGATAACTTGCAGGACAGTTAGAATTGCCTGGTTTTGCTATAGTATTTGTGGGGCTAGTAAGTAGGTTCTGTAGTGACTTTGAATACGGAGACTCATCCTTTGGTTATGATTTTCCATGTGTGCATGTAGTTGTCCATTTGTTAGTACCAAAAGAAGTCACTCATGAATGTGTCTGAGTCTTTGAAACAGTACTCTTTAGAACATTCACTTTCTCTCTTTCTAGGGAAATAGAACTGTTCTTCTGCACACTTCCCTTATTTTATCCTCCAGTCTCATCTAAATAGATGAAAGTTTTAGTATTTGTACAATGATTATTATAAATAGGTATCAGCATTTTAATATGTTTCAAAGCACTTCAAAAGCCTGTAATACTTTTATTTAGAACTGTGCATAATTAGATTAGCTGATCTTCTATTAATGTTTTTCACTGTAGGATACTAACTCTGAGCCCCCTCATTAATTGTGAGAAATTTAGCATTAGCTGTTAAATCCTATGTGAAACATGGGCTGCTACATAAAAACTACTGTTTAAATTGGAATTAACTTAATTATTTTTCCTTGCACTTGATATTTCCTTCACTGCAATATTCATGAAAGCATGTGACAGATTTGTAAATTTAACTGTTAATCTCAGATTTCTAGACCCTTTAATCAGTATTTATTTGTCTGTAGAAACAGTACAGGCAAGTTAATGATTTGCTAATTTGAAAAATGCTCATGTGGTTCCCTATGTTAACTGATTTGTGCATTTAAAAAATGGTATGAAATCAATTAATGTTAAAGAGCAATTAAGGTGGCGATTGTATTCCATTCATTACACAGCAGTTTCAAAGGAAATACAATAAATGAAAATCAACGTGAAGTTTTAGGAAAAAAATGGTTTCTTCTCTTAATTCGTAAACTTTTATTGGTTTTGTCACTAACCACTTTCCTAAGAAATTCATCTTTCTAAAGTGATGTTTTCAAAGTTTTGTAATTTTGTATAACATTGTGATTTCTGATCTCATATGAAACACAAAATGAAGACCTCATCACACAGTCTCTTGATTGTTTGTTTGTGGAGACTTCAACAAATGATATTGTTTTAGAGCTTTTGGTATGCACAATAAGCATTTAATTTTTTCATAGTAAATGCTATAAATCATGTACATACTTTCTGTCATGAAATAGAGGCATAATTACTTCAGAAACTCAACTCAAATGCCACAAAGTTGTTATAAGATTTATCTAACTCTAGAAGCTACTCAGTCAACATATCACTTAAAAAATTAAAAAGCAATACTTGAAGCATTTTGGAGGTCTTCAGAAAAGCTTCACATTGGCCCTTGGTGTGAGGTCTGACATTCACAATCAAGGTGTAAATGAGGAATTCATAACCAATTTATTTAGTATATTAAGGACAAATTGCTTACTCAGTTTCTATTTTTTACATATGCTTATTCCTTTCCTTCAGAGCTATGGGAGAAAGTTAGATATTTTTGCTCTGAAGTCATTCTTCAAACTGGCTCATCAGTCAGTTCATTCACCCGTTCCTTTCATTGCCAACCACCAACCTAATTACTCTCCCAAAACTCATAATCTGGTTGGGAAGGCTAGGAGGAAGGATGTACAAATACAAATATTGTACATCATGAAAACTTATAAAGATCATATTTGGGAATTATGTAAGAGAAAATAGGCAGCAGTTAGTGGGAAGATGTTTAGAGAGTGAAAAGCAAGAGGGGAATGAACAGATAGGCTATCAGTCCTTTGTCTGCAGTTTAGGCTTAATATCTCTCAATTTCAAGGATTTTTATTTTATTTTATGCTCAAATTAGTCAAATACAATGAGTGGCATCTAATTTTGTTGTTGAGAGTCCTCTTTAATCCATGGCGTTTTCCTTCTTCTGCAGAAGAATGTCTTCCAAGCAAGCCACCTCTCCATTTGCCTGTACAGCTGATGGAGAGGAAACAATGACCCAGGATTTGACCTCAAGGGAAAAGGAAGAGGGCAGTGATCAACATGCGGCCTCCCATCTGCCTCTGCACCCCATAATGCACAACAAACCTCACTCCGAGGAGCTACCAACGCTTGTCAGTACCATTCAACAAGATGCTGACTGGGACAGCGTTCTGTCATCTCAGCAAAGAATGGTGAGCACTGAAAGCCTGGTGATGGCTACCAACTGTGTCTCTATCCTCATTATCAGTAGATGCTTTAAGGAAAGCTAAAATACATGGCTTCAGTGTTATTCCTGGCCAGGTCATAAAGCGAACATGGGACATACATTTGCATTATTTTAGTAACTGGGAAAACTTGGAAAGCAGTTTGTGATCTAGGCTATGTCCATCATCAGGTCCACTTGACAAAAGAATATTGATTTGCTTTTTAAACAAGAGAAAGTCAGTTATTTTATTTTTTTCTATTCCAATTTATTGTGATGAATTTAGTAATGTCATAAATAGGTAGTAAAATGAAATGCGGTTGTGTATTAATGTTGAGAAATTAAGCAAATACGTCCATGTGAATGAGATCATAGTGTGACTACATCTTCAATAACAAAATGTCAGTATCTACCATTTTTAATGACAAGTTTTGATTTATAATAAAGACTTTCCTATATGTTAATTTCAAAGGGAAATACAAGGCTTCTGGGTAACCATCCAATCAGACTGCATGGTTTTCACTACAAGCAGAAATGACATGTCAGGTGATACAGGAGAGTAGGCAGCTTTCCAATGGTAAATTCTATCTTCTAACCATCAAAATAGAAACCTTAGGAGTGACTTAATTATCTAGTCCAAACAAAAATCTTTATTTTTTTTTATCATATGGAAGAAACCAGAACCTTAATATGTCTTATTAAATTAGAAGTTTCAACCTTGGCTTGTATTTCTTAACTTGTACGTAACCAAAAATTAAGTTAATGGAAAAATATCTTAAGTAGACAATGAGAGTTTTATTCCTTAACAAAAACAAAAATATCATTCAAAATGCCTTTACTAACAAAAGCACATGTGGAGATGAATAACTTGAATAGGGAGAAAGTTTTCAAATGATTTTGTTGAAATAGCCTGTACTCTGGTGGGAAGGGGGTGGGGAATCAAAAGATGAATGAAGCATGTCTTGAATAATTTTAGCTTTACTCCAGGATCCAAAGACTTTTATTTATTTTTCATACATCTTAATTATACAGATTAACAAATTTCATTATGACATTTCCATACATTCATAAAGTATTTTTATTATGGTTTCCTGCTCTACTACCATTTCTCAAGCACCCTCTTTCTTTCCTTTTCTATTCTACATTCCTAATATCCCTTTCAGGTCAATGTTCCCCTCCCCCACCATACTCGACTTAAATTGCATATATGGGGGGATATTTGTCTTTGTGCATTCGACTTATTTCACTTAACATGGTGATCTCCAGATTTTCTTCCACATGGTGTCATTTTGTTCTTCTATATGTGGGGAATCAACAATGTACAGTTTTCTGGCTGGAGATTTATCTCCCCAGATAGGAGTGAAGGCAAGTATATAGTGAGGCAAGGAAGAAGTGCATTTTCTGATGGAACTCCACTTGTTCATTCCTTGTTTCCAAGGTGGCATGGCTAAGATGGGTAGCCACGCTCTGCTCCTTACTTATCAGCAGGATAACAAGACTCTGCTTGTTTTATTTATTTATTTATTTTAATAAATATTTATTGGGCACTTCCTGGATACCAGGCATTCTACTAATACATTTCTATTATGGTGAAGCAGATGTGATCTATGCCATCCTGGAGTTTGTATTGTTGGACAGGGGATAGACATGCAAATAACATATATAGTTAAAGTTGTGACATGTGCTGTGAAGATCAGAATGTTGTCTGAAAGCACAATGAAGTGAGTCTAACTTTGAATAGATGGTTAGGATGCCATCTCCAAGTTAAGGATGACAGGAAGTAGTCAGGGTAGGGCAGAGGAAATCCATTGAGAGAGCAGTGTGTGTGGAGTATCTGAGGTGATAAAACCATAAATTAATGAATTTAAGGAAATGAAAGATGGTCTTTGTGGTCAGAGGATAATGAATGAAGATACATCAGATGTGGTTGGAAGAACAGATAGAGGCCATATCATAGAGGCCTCGGAGATGGCATTGTGGAGGTGAGATTTCATCTGAGTGCAGTGGGAACAGCCTTTGAAGGGCGGAAGAACGTTTCTCACAGATAAATCCAACTGTGGCTCGGTGAATGGATGGGCATGCGGCAAGAGTGAAAGGAAGGAGCCACGGGGATTTCTATGTCAGAAATCTAGATGGAAGATTTCAGTGGCATGGATTAGTGTAGACAAAGAGCGCGCGCAGAGAGGGATTGGTTCACGATAGTCTTCCTTTGATGCCATGTGCAGGCCTGACCAACTAAAGTAACTGGAATGGAAAATGTATGGGTAGAGGCAGGGACAATACAGTTCAAGTTCTGTTTCTTCAGAGGACACTTCCTTGTTTTTCCCAGAAAAACTTTATTTTTGGCAAGTTCCTTTTCTGAGTTAGTCTGAAACTTTTGTTATGCAGAATTTGTCAAAAAATAGATGCTAATGTGTATGTAATAACTTATGTTACATACGATTCATGGTAGTATAAAATAGCTTAAGGTTGCAAACATGTTATAGATTAGTGTGAGAGGGACCATTCTCATAGAAATGTTTCCAAACTTTTGCTAGAGCTTTTGTGTTCTCTGAATGCTGGGAAGCCAAAATATTTGTTTAACTCCCACTCTATAGCATTTCCCAGCTGTGTGCTTATATGGTGCAATAAAAGGATTTAACAAATGGGAAATAGCAGCTGCATGTGGAAACTCTCTTTGTGTTCCCTCTTCACCAGATAGATTCAACAATGTGGCAACTGTAACCTTGGACCTGCAATGACCTAGGATGCAGATCAGGTCACCAATCAGGTTCTGTTTTTTGTAAAGAAAAAACAACAGAAGGATTTTAGGTTCCTACCAGACCTGCAAATGTGTGTGTGTGTGTGTGTGTGTGTGTGTGTGTGTGTGTGTGTGTGTGTTGGAGTAGGAAGACTGTGACTGAAGTAAAATTCAAATTATTTCGTTAACTATGAAGTCCAAAGGAGCACTGATGAAGAGACCTGAAGTTTGTACTTCTCTTCACTGGATCTCTAGTGCTTTTTTTGTTGTGTGTAGTTTTCCCATTTAGTCAGCTGAGTACCATAAACTACTGGTCCTTATCTCCCCGACAGCATTTCGTCTACTGAGTTCAGAAGGGTTTCAATGGGAAGACCTGAGAGGTGGCTTTCTCTAGGCAAAGGCAGAAAAAGCATGAAATTCTGCCAATCTCCATGACTTGACTAGAAAAAAAGTTACATGTTAGAATTCTGGTTATTTTGAAGTGGAAATTCAACAAAATAAGATGCTACACACAGTTTCCAACAAGTAGAACAATGTGTAGTATTCTAAGCACAGAAGGAATATCGAGATTTTAGGGAAGGGAATTCACAGACCAATGCAATATAAAACATTTAGACACATTTTACACAATTATAGAAACCAGAACATCCATCTTTAAATTTTGTATCTTATATAAATTGGTGACATTTTTTTTAATGGTTGAAATGTTAGTACACATAAAAATCTCTCTCTGCTTCTGTGTACAACCACTCTGTTATTGTCATGGCTTCAGGGTACCAATACATTTTTGGCACAGGAACATTGGCACTGTCCAGTGACATGTATTATTGTTCTCACTGGCCTTGTGCCATCAGTAAGGAATGTACCCACATAATTTCCTCATGTGAAAATGTACAGGGCATCATTCTTTCTTATGTCAGTAAAGGAACATCACTGTGATAGTTTGCAGTGACCTGTATCTGTTCTTATATGTAGTTACTTTCCATGAACGTTCCAAGTGTAGAAAGGACATATGAGCCTAGGTATTGCTAGTAAATTTCTCTGCAAATACACAGATTTTTTTTTTGGGGGGGATGTTGTGAAGGTATTTATATGTAACTACCTGTATCAAATGAATGAATTGAGAGGTGCATGAGTTCTCCTTCCAGTACAATCTGGGTATTTTTTCTTTAAAGTATAATTTTAAGAGCTATCATCATCATCATCATCATCATCATCATCATCATCATCATCATCACTGGCTACAGAAGTATGGAATGACAGCTCGGTTCCAGATACCAAGACTGCCTTGTGATAATATCAAACCTCTGTTCTAATGGAATTTGCACAGCACACAGTCTCAGAGTAAGATAATTCATATAGTGGGAGAAATCCAGTAAGGGAGAAGAGCAGAGCGGAAGGGAGAGCTTGCTGGAGATGAGAAGCTTGAGTTGGAATCTGGAACAAGTCAACTGTGCAGAGATTTGTGGGTGGGTACCTAGCAAGTGTGTAATAAGTATAAAAGTCTTCTTAAAATTTATTATTTTTTATATTTTTGAATTTAAAACATGTTTTTATTCTTTGTAAATTTCATACATATATAGAATGTATTTATATTTATCCACTTCCTGCCTACCACCTCTCTTCAACTTTCTCTGGGAACCACCAATCCAACTCCTTCCTGACTTCATATCCTCTTAAACATTTATTATTATATCAATACGTTATATTAATAGTTTCCTGAGTCCAATTAGTACTAAACACATGTAAAAGGATGTAAGGTCGTCCACTGGGGCACAGACAACTTTCCAGTAGGCACATCCTTTGGTAGGGATGGAGCCTAAGCAATCCCTCCTCATCATGCTGGAGGTTTTACTGGTTTGATCTTAATCAGGACTCATGCAGTTGCCACCCTGTGAGTTGATGTGTGCGCCAGCTATGCCATGTCCATAAGGCAGCATTCCACAACTCTCCTCTCTGCTGTGGGATGTTCTGTATGGCAAATGTGTTGCTCTGATTGGTCAATAAATAGAATACGGATTGGCCAGTAGCTAGGCAAGAAGTATAGGTGGGACTAACAGAGAGGAGAAAAGAAAGAACAGGAAGGCAGAAGGAGTCACTGCCAGCCAGCCGCTGCCAGTACAAGCCGCATGTGAAGATGCTGGTAAGCCACGAGCTACGTGGCAAGGTATAGATTTATGGAAATGGGTGAATTTAAGATATAAGAACAGTTAGCAAGAAGCCTGTCATGGCCATACAGTTTGTAAGCA